GACCATGAGTGTGTTGCTGCTAATTTATATTTTGCCTCCAACATTTGTTGCATCCTTTACACTTTTATGAAGGCTGCAATAATGTGATCAGAGTTTTGTAATATTGACAAGAGGCTGTGTGAAAGTCATGAATATAAAAAGACTGCTTTGGGACAATGTTAAAGAGAAAGTGATGGCTTTAATAATGTCAAAGACAAAAGGCATTGGACAGGCTCAGTAGCATTTTAAAATATTTATTAAACCCAGTCTGTAATTTTTCATAGGAAAGTTGCTTTAATGACAAAAGAAGGCATAATACGAACAGAACAATCCAGATGCTGCTGTGAGTCAGCACTACTTCAGAGACATTTATATTCTTACCCTCAAGCTTTCTTAGAACCTTTTCTAACAGTTGCAGCTGTGTGAATAATTTGTGGAAAAGCAGTGATAGAATCCTACAAATGAATACAAGATAATAACATCCAGAAAAGGAAAAAAATACCCAGTGTTTAGTTGTTTACATACCAATGACCTGAGGATTCACCTTAAATTTATTTTTGTTTTCAGTTAGAATGGAGTCATTGTTTGGGGTCAGCAGTATCTGCCTCCTGACTCTACAATCAAGCTTTCAAATAGCCCAAGTTAGGCTATTCTCAGACTTTCAGCAAGTGCAGGGAGTTCTAAAGAAATCACAGGATATGCATGTTGAAAGAAGGAAAAAAAAAAAAAAAAGCCAGCATTCAGCATTAGAGAGAGCTACCGTTTTCCATTTTCTCCCAATCTCTAATATTCTACCGGCAAGGTAATTAGATTAGAATCCTATTTGAATCATATTTGGATCCTTCCTTGATTTATTCCTATATAAAAATATATTATGAACATTTCAGAAATATGCCCGTTGACCTTTATTTAGTTTTATGCCTATTTAAACATATTACTAAATGCTTTCTGGTTTCGAACTGATGATGAATTTTACAAATAATTCCATATAGATCCCAACATTTCTGGAAAGAAATCTGTGAGAAAATGTAATGATAGTAATTATGCAGTAGTGTATTTTTCTTATCTACTTTTTTGATATCTAAGTTTAATGTTTTAGTCCTAGAAACACATCTCCATTTCTAAGTTTCTATAAGTAGCTTAAAATTATTAGCTTTATGTATGTATTTCACAAGTCTTCCATATATACTATCTTATTACTTATATGTTATGCTTAAAGGATCAGTAGATAAATTAAATATACTTTTATTAGTGTATTTTAATCACATGATGGTGTTATTTATTTCAATTGGGTGACAGAAGTAACTTATTTTGAGAAGTTGCACCTATTTGAGATTAATTATTAATATTCCTCTGAAATATAAATGCAATGAAAAGTATATTAACTTTTCATTTTAAAATATACTTTTTAAGGATCTCAAATATACCTTAGATGTAGCTGTTATAAATGTCAGAATTTGTTTTCAGATTCCATGTAGTCAAATTCCAGTAGATACTTTCTGTAGGGAATTTTAAGATCAGTATCAAATAAGGCAATTCTCTCCAGAGTTTTGCATTTTTTCCAGAATTTCATTTGATTAATTTCAAAAGCTGAATTCAGCACTCACTCAACATCTTAATATATACATTAGAATATGACAGATAGAGAATAAATTCACTTAGCACTATATACTATACCCAGATGTTGCTCAATAAATAGTGTATGTTGTTACCTTAAAGGATAAACAAGATTTTATACTTTTCTTAATGTTATTCACAAATAAAATTCATGTATTTACATCATCCTGTATCCCTTCCATTTTAAGTGTCTGAAACTGTTTAATCACGTTTTATATAATATATATATATTTCAATAACATGAGGTTGGATAACACATATATATATACACTAAGTTATTTAATGTTTTTATAGATATACATGCAATATTATGTTACTTGACTTTGTTTAATACTATTGCATCAATTAAACCTAACAAGATTGCTTCCTGTGTTACTTCAATGAAATAAGAAACATTATTAGGAAATTTCCTGTACATAGAAACCTTTATGTATCATCTTTTGCTGAAAATATTGGGGACATTATTTAAAGATTGGTGTGATAGTGAACACAAATTGAATTATAAGGTCAACATAGAAGCTCTTGGTGTCTTCAGTTTCTTTTTTTTTTTTATATACTGCCAATAGCAAGGAAAGACAAGTTCATAGAGTGCACTTCCTAACTAAAAATGACTGTAACAAATGGCTTAAAATGTTCTCTGGAGAATTATTGACTTTTTAATTTAGACTGCCATCAATCCTCATTTGTATTTCATAATATATATCCCAGGAAAAATAACCTCCTATTAAATGTGTAGTTTATTGCTTAGGTTAATAGTTGTTATGCCAATCATTTATCCTTTAATTCTATGTGAGTTAGATATTTTCAGGCCATGTCTTGATGCCAATCTACCAAATAAGAAACATTATATATGTGTATTATTATTTTTCCATAGTGTATATTATCTATTGTATAAAAGTTATTAAAGGTATTAAAGTTCAATATGATAAAATGTATTATTCACTGTTTTCCTTTCATTTCAATCACAATTATATCAATAAGGTTGAAAGAGATGGCACTGCAGGTTTCTATTGCACATCTTACTTGAAAACATTCTTTGGAAAGTATCAAGAACAGTATAGGTCACCCAATAATAGCTGCATTTTCAAATATGAATGATGCAGATTTTATTATAATTATTAAATTGATTGATGTGTTTCATTTCAAAGTAATTTTCGAATATATTCTGTTGTCTTGATTTTCCACTTCTCCCAAAATGCTACAGGAATCATTGATCTTTGCTTTGACTTCAAGTTCTGTGACAAGTTATACGTTCTTTTATTGAATATTTATTGGCAGTAATTTTTCATTTCCATCGGTAAAAGCTGTTAAACTTTCCTGTTACTCATCTTTAAAACAACAGAAATATTCTATAGTATCTATGAATAGAATATGAAATATTCTATAGTAAATATTCTATAGTATCTATGAATATATTACTATTTCCACACTAAAAGTGTTGGTGTTAATGGTATTATTTTCTATCATGAGAATACTCATGTCACATAATAAAAAAAGAGACATAAATCAATTCTCATTTTCACTTGTGAGAAAATTGAAGCTAAAGGTGAAAATGAATTGCTATCAAGGCTTACTTAATTAAGTAGAAAGTGGGAATTTATTGACTTGGAAGTAGTTCCATTTGAAATTTCGTGAGCTACTTTCATATTGTTTTCCATACTGACTGTTCTAGTTTATATTACCAACAGTGTACAAGAGTTCCCTTTCACCAAATCCATGGCAGTATGTATTTTCTGTTGTGTTTTTGAAAACAGACATCATAACATATGTGAAGGGATATCTCATTGTGCTTCTGATTTGCATTTCCTGATCTTCCATGATCTTGAGCTCCTTGTCATGTACAGCTTGGCATCCTGTCATTGGAAAAATGGCTTTTTAGGATCTTGGCTCACTTTTTTCTGTTCAGTTGTGAGTTCCTTTGATGTTTTGACTAATATTTCTCTAAGAGATATGTGGTTTATACATATTTTTTTCTGATTCCATAGGTTACCTTTTCAATTTGTTGATAGTTTATTTTGCTGTGAAGAAGAGGTTATTGCCTTTAAGATGCTGAATTGTAACAGTTCATAATATATGTTGGATACTAGTTTCCTATCAAATATAATTTGCAATTTTGTCTATTCTTTCAGTTATATTTACATTACCTTGAATTTGTCCTTAGTATAACAAAAAAATTAATTTTAATGAAATCCAATTTTTTTTTTGCGTGTGATTGGGGATATTATTTAAGAAACAAAAGTCAAATATAAGGCCAAGAAGACTTTATCTGTATTTTTCCTATAAGTTTTATTGTTTTAGCACCTACATTTATTTCTCCAGTTTACTTTGAATTAACTGTTATATATGGTATCAGTAAACTTACAGGTTTATTGCCATACATGTATATATCTAGTCAGACCAGTATCAGTTCTTAAGAAAAACAATTTCTTGATGTCTTTGTTGAAAATGTATTGACCTCCCATATAGGGTTTATTTCTGCACTTCCAACTATATTCTAGAGAGCTGTATCTTTATCGTTATGCCAGTATCCCATTGTTTTGTTTACTCTAGCTTTATAATAAATGTGGAAACCAGGAATATGAGACCTCCAGTGAGAGTTTTTTCATGATTGTTTTGGTTATTTAATGTAATTTTTAATTCCACATGAAACTGAAGGTGGACTCTCTCATTTTTATAAACAAACAAAAAACCCACAGTTGGAATATTCACATGGATTATGTTGTATATATAGAACAATTTTGGAATTTTCTCATTTTACCAATGATTCTCACCAATTCTTACTATCTTAGCAACTAATTCTTTCAATTTGTGAACACATGGTATCTTTCAATTTATGTAGATTTTCTTTAAATTCTTTCAACATATTTTTTAGTGTTTGCATTACAAAATATTTTATTTTGGGGGGATGCAGCTGTTAATGGAATTATCCTAATTTCTTAAAATGCTGTAGTTAAAAAAAAAGAAGAAATTACTTTCTCTCCTATTACTATATTCATTTATTTTACATATATCTAAATTCATAGTCTTAATTTCTTAAACTCTTTTACAATTGTTAGATATTTTAATATTCTTTTTTTTCAATATCTGACAAAGGAGAGCCTCTCTAAAATGATTTCTGTATTTTTTATATGTATCTGTCATACTTGGAGGACATTGTTAATTTCTGAAATAAAATATCCTAAGATATTTCCATGGCAAAGCCTCCAGAATAGCCTTTAGGGCTATTCACTGACTCATGGTACATTGTCATGGATAATAGTTCTTATAAACAAATGTCTATAGAAATATAAAACATCATTATAATATATGATTTATATTTTTACCATATTCCAATTGTTTGTTTTGAAAAATTAAATGGTAAATATGGATTACTTACTTACTTTCTTTTCCATTTCTTTTTTTAGTTCCTCCAGTAATTCGGGTGTATCCTGAAAGCCAGGCTAGAGAACCTGGGGTAACTGCAAGTCTTAGGTGTCATGCAGAGGGCATACCAAACCCTCAGCTTGGCTGGCTGAAGAATGGAATTGATATTACACCAAAGCTGTCCAAACAACTCACGCTTCAAGGTGTTTTTTAATTTGAATTTTTTTCTCTTAAATGAATACATAGACATTTTGTGCTAAAATTTATAATATATTTTATAGTATTTAGAAAAAATAGAAAATGTGTCAGTGACAACAGAATATCATATAAGTGAAAATACATATTTGTACCTGAAAGAACATAAGATTTAAATAGATTCTTTTTATATTTTAATTTTTTAAACAAAGTTTTATCGTGATTATGTGCTTATTTTAGTGATACACAAAGTATTAAACAGTATATATTAAATACTTCCAATGACTTATAACAGATACACTGAAGAGGAAAATTACATCTCCTCATAGAATGCATTTTTGAAGTGACTATTTAAATGCTTAAATTACAAAAAAAATGTATTACAGGTATTAATAATATAGAAATTATTTTTGTGAATATTTGGTAACATTGAAAATTAAAACAGGAAAATAATAAATCCAGTAAAGGGCCTCCCCGGTGGCGCAGTGGTTGAGCGCTGGGTTGCGAAGCTGCCCGCGGCCTCTGTAGCGCCGGTTCGATCCCCGGCTGCTCCCCGGCCACCAGAGGAGGGTCCCACATGGCGCGCAGACCTCTCCTGCCGCCCGCTGCTCCCCTCAGCAGTGTACTTCGGTCCTTCTGCCTGCTCTGCTCCCCGCTCTGGCTCTGGTGAATTCTCTCACCCTCCCGCGCTTCTGACTGTACCCAGTGCATGTATAAACAAAACAAACAAACAAACAAACAAATAAATAAATAAATAAAACATGCCTCTATAAAAAAAAAAAAAATTAAAAAAAAAAAATAAATCCAGTAAATATTTCACATTTATATTACTTTAAATTATAATATGTAAAGTATCCTGCATATTCTAGTAGTCGATTTTGTGTACATAACTAATCAAATATATAGAAAAGGGCCTCCCCGGTGGCGCAGCGGTTGAGCGCTGGGTTGCGAAGCTGCGCGCGGCCTCTGCGGCGCCGGTTCGATCCCCGGCTGCTCCCGGGCCACCAGAGGAGGGTCCCACATGGCGCGCAGACCTCTCCTGCCGCCCGCTGCTCCCCTCAGCAGTGTGCTTCGGTCCTTCTGCCTGCTCTGCTCCCCGCTCTGGCTCTGGTGAATTCTCTCGCCCTTCCGCGCTTCTGACTGTACCCAGTGCTTGTATAAACAAAACAAACAAACAAACCAGCAAACAAATAAATAAAGCATGCCTCTATTAAAAAAAAAAAAAAAAAAAAATATAGAAAATAAGAATTACAAGATGTGGTGAGTGAAAATAAAAAGCATTTTTGTAGTGTCAAATTGTCTACATAATGCCAAAGCAGTTGCATATGTGCTGATTATAATATTGTTGTAAGTGAAAAAAAAATCTGCAAATTTTATTAACATTATCAAGAGGAGCACCTGATATTTGAGGATCTATGTCATGGTGTATATTCCTTTTTTAAAAATTAATATGACATTGCTTTACAATATTATATATGATTTAGAGATATTCAATCACACCTATTCAGATACATGTTACCATAGCATACCCATCACCAAAACACCCATGGTTCTCCACAATAGTCCATTGTGTTCCTTGTTCCATGCTTTTAAGCTCAATCAAGTCATACTTTAGAAATAACTATTTTAGTATTTTAATGTTTTTATTATTTCTACAAGTACAGACTTCTCTCATTATTCTACTTTTACAGTAAATATGTGATCAGTATGCATTTTTTAATTTTTTTTGAAAGATTGACTTATTTTTATAAGGTAAAAAATTTTAAGACAGAGTATTTTGACCTTTGAAACCTAAATCCTGGAAATTTCCATATCAATGTAAATAACCCCAATAAAATTACACCTTACATCTACTGTTTATATTTTGGTACCTGTAATTTATGAAGCAATGAGCACTGATGTGATTAACAGAAATTAAAGATAGATCTAATTAGATTTTGACAATAATTAGATTTTGATCTTGTCATATATTGCCCATTTAATAGCAACAAACCTTATTATATGAACATATTATATATTTGATATATATTTGAAATATATAGTAGGCAAATTTCAGAAGTTGATTATATTCCACACCAAACACCAAAAGAATGAGAGTTCTTATAAAATAGCTATTGTCATTTTTAGCAAGAGAAACTACGTCAAGTTTTGAGAGACTATGACAGATAATAAATCGTGAGTAGGGGATACAAGCTAAGAGATAAATCTGGATACATAGGTATGCGAAATTTCACACTCTATGTATGATTATATATTAACCAGCACTATAGATATTTTATTATCCATTTCTTCATTGTTGATGTTGATCTAGTATTTCTAAGCAATTACCCTCTTTGAAGTGGATGTTGTGACTTTTGGTTAAAAGTCAATTCTGGAAATTTACCATACACTTGCACAGATCATACTATGAGTTTCATATTCCTCATTTGATAATTCAGTATTATTTGGGGAAATTCAGATATGGTCTATGTGAAAGCACTTGCTTTGTGACCAAATGTAGAAAACAGTTAATTATACTTTGGTTTCCCCATTGGTGGGATGAAACTCATTAATCAGGGATTAATTTAAAATATTATTTTACCAAGATTTAAAAGTCTGTTTAATTCGGTTATACACACATTGACTATATTAATTTCCCTAATATAATATAGTTTATTTTAGTAAAATAACTGGCAAAAACTGAAAATCTTTTTAAGACAGAAAAATATTTTTCTTCTCTGTATTCTGACATACAAATCATGTGGCATTATCTTTCTGTCCTTTTCCATAATAATTCCAGATATATTAATATGAATTCAAAAAGTAGACTTGATAAGTATCAATCATATTATACCTGCTCATTTAATTTATTTTCACAATTCCTTTTTCAGATGTATTCTCTCCTATAAATTAATCATATTTTTATTATTTAAAATTTTTGCAAAAGTTTAAAACAAAGTAGATTCTGAATAATAAAAATAACTATATAAATTAAATTACAGTTATTAATATGAAATACTTCTTATGCAATGTGGGAAATAGGAAATGCATATAGAATATTAAGAGTATACTTTTGATATAGAGTATTGAATTCTTTGTAATAGAGTGACAACACAGTTTATGAAACACTTTAATGCTTTTGGAATAATTTGGCATGGCTCCAAATCATGGAAGTAGGAAGGGAAACAGTTTAATTAGGACAAGCTAAGAGAACCATTTGACTGTGTAATCAGAAAGCACTGTACCAAAACTAAAATTGTAGTTTACAAGTTGCATTTGCCTTCTGTTTTCAGCAAATGGCAGTGAAGTTCACATAAGCAATGTGCGCTATGAAGATACAGGAGCGTACACTTGTATCGCAAAGAATGAAGCAGGAGTGGATGAAGACATTTCTTCTCTTTTTGTGGAAGATTCTGCTAGAAAGACCCGTATGTATTGAACACATATACACATATACACACAAACACAATATTTTCTCTATCCACTGTTTGTTGATAGTTTGGGTTGTTTTCATATTTTGACTTTTTTGTGAATAATGCTGCAATGAACATATGAATGCAGATATATTTTTTATCTTGATTTAAATACTTTGGCATATGTACTCAGAAGTGGAATTACAGGGTCATGTGACAATAATATATTTGATTTTTGAAGAATTTCCATAGTAGTTTCCATACAAGCTCTAAGAAAGGTTTTGCATATTCTCTCCAACATTTTATCTTTTGTTATTTTGATAACAGCCCTCCTAACAGGTATGTGATGGCATTGTATTGTGTTTTTGATTCGCATCCCTGATATTTAGTTATGTAGTGTACCTTTTAATATACCTATTGACTATTTTTATGTCTTCTTTGTAAAAATCTCTTCAAATTCTTTGGACTTCTTTAAATGTGATTATTTAATATTTTCCCCTGCATTATTGGATTTTCAAAAATATATATTGGTAATTAAATGCATTTCAAATTCATGGGTGAAACTATAGGATTTTTTTCCCATTCCATAGGATGTCTTATCATTTATGGATTATTTCTTTTGATGTGTAGAAGCTTTTTAGTTTGATATAGTCTAACTCGTAAATTTTTATTTTGTTGCCTATGCTTTTGAGAAAATTTATGAGCTAATATCTCTGATGAACATGCGTGCAAATTCTTCAACAAAATATTTGCAAAATAATTTAATTGTGTATTAAAGTGATCATACTCCATGATTATGTAGGGTTAGCCTTGGGACGCAAGGATGGTTCAAGTACACGATCATTTTGATTTTCATTTTAACAAACTAAAGGATAAAATTCTCTTGATCATACAGTAGATGCAAATAAATGTTTTACAAACTGTTTTATGATTTAGAAAAGCTCTTTTAACAACACTCTTATATGATTTAAAATGCTCAACAAATTGGGCCTAGATACTATGTACCTCAACATAATAAAGCCATATATGACCAGCCACAGCTAATGCTAAAAGCGATGGTTAAAAAAAAAGATAATCTTTTCCTCTTAGATCAGAAACATAACAAAATGCCTACTCTCACCATTCTATCTAACATAATATTGTGTATCCTAGTCATCAATTATAAATAAAATGGATCCAAATTAGAAAGAAGTAAATGTGTCTCTGTTTGCAGAAGACATAATCTTATATATACAAAATTCAAAGATACTATAAAAAGTTATTAGCTATACATATATTCAATAAATTTGCAGGATTAATAATCAATGCACAAAAATCTGTTGTATTTCTGTTAGTGGACAGGACCCCCAAACTTGCCTGCTCTATATGGGCCCTGCTATCTACTGCATACAATCAAATCATATTCTTAGTGTGTAAGACCTCTAATAGGAAAGTACTTTAATAGAATTAGTGTACATGGAAAGAGAAAAGGAGAAAGAATAATAGTTTACAATAAAACACCCAACCTTACCCATAGTCTTGCGAGTAAATGCCTAGCCAAATAGGGTTGACCTGAGGGGAGACTGCTGGAGCCCAAAAGCTTGTCACAAGTCTAAGGCACCTTCTGGTGGGGATGTCTATTTATTTTATATCCAAATATAAAATATAGCTATTTCTTTTCACATTTTAAAAATGACTCAACTGATTAGAATATACATTTTTTACTTAAATATAGAAAACAAAATATCAAAATATTTTAAACAAAGGACACAATTTTTATAGAATCCACATTTGTCACAGAATCAGAGCAAGTTGTATACTATTTCCCCCTTGCATTGATCTATTCATATTCTTATATTTCAAAAATTCTTCTAAAATGTGCTTTGCTTTTGTTTTCATTTTGAAAGATGCAGAGAATAAAACTGTTGAATTCCATGTGATAGCAAAAAATGGGAAAAATTTACAACTTTTGGACTAAATGACACAACACAGACTTACTTTGTTTAGCTACAGCTTCAGTGTAATCATCTAGCTATTTCCTACATAATGGAACACTCATAGTACTATCAATCAGTTTTTTTCTTACACCACATTTCCCAGCAATTTATACTCTTGGGAGAACAATTCATGCAAAATGGCACATGGCTAAGGAGTTTATGTTTTCCTTATTCCCTAGTCTTTGAATTGGAAAATCTTGAGTTACAGTGCCCAACTTTGGCAACAAACACACTGGAAGTTTTCTCATGTAACAAATTGAACTACAAAAATGTGCTTTAAAAATAATATGTTGGGGCCTCCCCATTGGCACAGCGGTTGAGCGCTGGGTTGCGAAGCTGCCCGCAGCCTCTGCAGCGCTGGTTCGATCCCCGGCTGCTCCCCGGCACTGGAGGAGGGTCCCACATGGCGAGCAGACCTCTCCTGCCGCCCACTGCTCCCCTCAGCAGTGTACTTCGGCCCTTCTGCCTGCTCTGCTCCCCGCTCTGGCTCTGGTGAATTCTCTCACCCTCCCACGCTTCTGACTGTACCCAGTGCTTGTATAAATAAGTAAAATAAATAAATAAATAAATAAAAATAAATCTTTAAAAAAAAAAATAAATAATACGTTGTACAGTTACATTAAGAAAAGGGTTTGGTAACTAAGATTTACTGGAGTGGTATACAGGGGAGGATTTAAATGCAAGGCAGAATAGAAATGGGTAGCAAGAGGTTGTGTGATGCTATCACAAAGATGATGATTGAAAACATGTGAGTTTTAGGTAGAGGTAGAAGGCTATTCATTTGAAAATGTCTTGCACATAGCAATAAACACTTGATAGATTTCCATTCCAAGAGAAGTGAATTCCCAGATGATAATAACTCATCTCCAGGATTAAGGTAGATGAAAAGCAGTGTGAATGTGGGCTGTTATTGAATTTTTAAGCTATTGGCAGCATAGAGTGCCAAGCACAGATTATATCATATGTGGCTAGGGGTTTAGTAGAAAATATGATTAATCCAAAATCTTGCAAATATATTGCAATAATGTATGAATATGTTATGGTATATACACACACACACACACACTATAATTATATATACCATATATACATATATACTATAGTATACTGTATACTATATAGTATATAGTATATACCATATAGTGTATGGTATATATATACTATAACATATTCACATATATAGTACATATTCACATATATATTATATATAATATATAGTGTATATATATAATTCTAATGTATTCTAATGTATAATTATACTATAATGTATTATAATTATAATGTATATATAATTCTAATTGTTGCAATAGCCCAATATTTCCAAATGTAATATTACCTATGACAGTGGTAATAAGTACATGAAAAGTTATATATATATATATATATATGCAACAATTCTTAAATTAGAATTAACTTCTGTAAATTTATAATGGTTGACTATTACAACCTAAAATTAAATAATTTTTTTTAAAAAATGGGTTAAATTCTACAACTAGGTTATTTGAATAAACAATTATGTAAATATATGATTGTACAAATTAATAACCATTATAACATATACAATATGTATAATTCACAAAACACAAATATAGACATACAGCAATATGTAGCCGCTTGACCCTAAATATTTAAAATGTTATTTAAATCCTTCAGAAATATTTCCTATTTATTTACTTAGGATAAATTTTATTTTATTTCATTTTTATTTTTTATTGAAGTGACATTAAATTTAATATTATGTGTTTCAGGTGGTAGAGATTAGAGATAGATAGAGATAGATCTCATTAGAGATCATATCTGTATATAACTATCAAATTATCACTTAAAATTCAAATATCTCCTTCATGACACCAATTGGTCCCTTTTTCCTGATTTCCAATCCTCCCCACCCCCCGCCTCCTTTCTGGTAACCATGATTTTGGTCATATAGCCCAACAGTTATTTTTTGCTTTATTTAGTTCATTTATTTTTTTTCGATGTTTTTCTGTTTTAGAGAACATGTTTCTCTGTTTTTGTTTTTTTTTTTTTCATTCTACATATGAATGAAACCATGTAGTGCTTGTCTTTCTCCTTCTGACTAATTTAATTTAGAGTAATACCCTCTAGGTCAACCAGTGCTGTGGCAAATGCAAAAATTAATCATTTCAATAGTTGACTAGTAATCCAATTATTTAAAAGGTATGACCTGTTTTATTATTTTTTAATTGAAGTGACATTGCATTGTTATATTACATAACTTCAGTTTTACATTGTTAGAAATTAACATATATACATTTTACAAGTAGAGGAAAATTTCTTGAGCAGGTTAAAACGTAATTGATGAATATATAAAGACAGTTTGAATATGACCTAGCAAACTTTGCAAATAAACTAATATGACATAGCAAACAATGTTTGAATATAACATAGCAGACTTTGAAATTATACATTCTGGTAATGAAGAATAATTAATAAACCTCTCTACTCTTCATTTTTTTCCTGTATCTAAAGAATGGCAACAATACTTCAAGAGGTTAGTTGTATAACTTAAAGATATCACTTACATATGATCTTATTTAATCTACAGAGATTATAATGGTTATATTAATAAGAAAATAGCAGTCCTTTGGCAGATTTAATATAAAATATAATAGTTATCAATTAATAGTTGATTTTACGAACAATAATTGTGAGATAGGTGCACAAATAAGAGATAATGATCATTATTAGGAATAGGGGAAATCTATAATTAAAGATAAACATAGCTGGTACAATATTTTATTCCTGGTCATTATATGATGAATCTATAAACAGAACCAAATAAAGCAAACATTTTGGGGGAAAATGAATTAACAAATGAAAAACTCTATTAATTTTTTTAACATTCACTAAATATTACTCAATAGTATATTTAGTATAGCCTTTAAAGTCTATACTAAAAACATTTTAGAATAAACACTTCTATATATTTTGGAAATTCAACACAATTTAATATTTGTTGTGGGCATTTATATATACATGTGTAAGTAAATTTACTGTGAAATAAAATTTACTTAGTATAATCATAACATGTCAAGGTTAACTATGCTTGATAGGCACTTATTATTTTATGAGCTTTTATTATTTATCATAAATTCTAGTATGCATGCTTTCATTTGGCCAATGACATTGTCACATCTGGTAAAGTGACTTGTTCTGTAAATCTTTTCATCTGTTGACCCAGAACATACTGAACTGATTTGCCTTGTAATTACCATATCTGAAGGCTATATTTTAAAAATAATACCCTTTTCAGTGTCATTAAGTAGATCAGTTTCTAATGCATTGTCATTTTTGCACAATTGCAGAGACTTGTTATATAACAAGATGCTACATGATCTGAATGTCATCGAATTTACAGGCTTATCGCAATCATAAGCCCTTGGGTAGCTATTTTGTCTACATTACAAACTAAGAATCAAAGCTTTCTAATTTTAATTTATTACCTAAATTTTATTTTTTATGGTATTGTGTACCTTCAGGAAATGTTCCTTTGTCATCTCATACTATAGAAAGACAGTTTGCCTAATTTATTTTATGATAATTTATATATATAATATGTATGATATATGTATCCTTTAAGTGAATATCATCCTATTATTCAGTTATAATCTTGTATTTTTACTATTAAATCTCAGTATGGTATATGTAATGTAGAAACTCATTACAACATGCTTCAGAAACACAATTAATGTGAGCATTCAATATGAAGTTGAATTATCTTTCTTTATCCAATTTTGAAGAGTATTTGGCATAATGGCTTCTCCCAAAAAATAGTGTTACTTTGTTCATCAGACTATTTAAACTTCTACAAAACAACCTGTGTATTCAGAAAATATGTGTTCATAACAAGTAATCTTATTAGTCAAGGACTAAATGCCTTAGGCTGCTTATATCTATTAATTTATAATCATTAAATAAGAATACAACTGATACTGGAAATAGTCTATTATGATCATAGATAGAAGATAATCTGTTGTCAGCTACTTGCTTCTGTGGCCCTCTGAACAATCTTCACGCCTATCTCCATATTCACATATGCCTATCTACAGTGTTGGCTGGATGGATTATTTTGTTAACGAGACTAATCTGAAAACATTTTGTATAATACTTAAAGAAATAGATATACTGCTCATCAATTTGTTTTTAATATATTATCATTTTACTCCAACTCTTTGATTAGTCTCTTATATTCTTAACACATGCTCTGTTTATTTTGCTTTTTTAGATTAAGCTATTATAGAAATTAACTCAATTAGCGTCATTTGTAGAAATTAAATTTTAATGGAGCCAATGCTCTAAAATACTTGGCACTGTGTCTAGCACATAATGAGAACTCAGTAATTGTTTGTTCTGATTACCATTGCTGTTATTATTCCAGGTCAATGATTATTAGCTTTAAAATTTTCTTAAACATATTGAAGAATGGATTAAAAAAAAGATGTAATTGGGTAAATATGCTTAAATGTGGTAATACCATATGCCGGACATGGGACTATTAAGAAAGAGTTAAAGATAGAAATTTTTGTTTTATATCAAAATACCTTGAGATCCATATATATATATATGGATATATATATATATAGGAATTCATTATACCTTTATTAACAATTATGGGAATTGACTATTTAACTGCTTACTCTTGTATGTTGTGTATTATATTACTCAACAGTGAAGCTAAACTCCATTTTATTCTCATAGTGACAAAACAGTTTATCCTTGAGTTTGAAAAAAAATGCCCCAAGATATAAGATTGCTGCATAGTTTATTCAAATCTGGTAACTTCCCTTTCCAGTAAGAAAGGTAAGTTTCATAGAGAATGTTAGCCAAAAATAACCATACAGTAGTTCCTGTCCATTATATAGTAGTCCTTGGCCTTGGTTCCAGTGAGTCCTTGTCCAATGCAGTCCAAAAATAAAGAGAGAGAGAGAGAGAGAGAGAGATGAAGAAATATCAAGAGGGAGCATTTACACAACTTTTATTAAGTGTATGGCTATATTTGTTCTATTTTATTTTTACTTGTTGCTATTCATCTCTTAGTTTGCTTAATTTATAAATTAAACTTTATTATAGGTGTGCATGTATAGGGAAAATGTAGTTATATAGGGTTGGGTACTGTCCACAATTTCAAGTCTCCACTGGGGGTCTTGGAAAGTATCCCCCATGGATAAAGGGAAACTACTCTGTAGAAGGGAAAGAAAGTGCTTTTATATCATATTCTCAAAGTCATGCCTGACCACATTTTATTTTCAAGAGCGAGCAATAATTAAAGGTTACCTGTGTGTGTGGAGTCACTGTAACATGAAAGGCTTCAACTGAAAATGCTCTCACATTTCAATGCCAATGTTTATTCTTACCAGAGCCATGGTTGGCTACACCCTTACTGCTTGGCCCAGTTTCTTTGTATTCCCTGACACTTCTCTGCTGGGCATCTTGACCCATTCTCTTTTTTTCTGTGCCAGTTACCGGAGCTGCTAGAGTATCAATTCTGTCTGTCATTCTGCCTTTTGATTCGGTGTTGACAATGGAAGGAAGAGAAGCAGCTGGCATTATTCTTCCTTATTAATACAGGATTGCTATTGTGAGGGGGTGGGGATTAGAAAGAAAGAGAGGAAAAGGTAGGACTAGAGAAGAAAGAACAGTTAATTCAGTTTATGATTTGTTTCTCTTAACATTATGAAGCATTTGTTTCTCTTAACATTATGAAGCAGTGATCCAACTTGTAGTAGCAACAGTGAAGTTTCAGAGAAGAAAATAAGTGTTCAGATCATCTGGGCAGTGATTCTAAATTCCTAATCTTTATTGCAGCAGTGGGAACCTTTTTGGTTTATTTGTTAGACATTGATGGCATTTCTTCATGCTTTGATTTCCCTCTTTTAACATGGTAAGAAAAAAGTGTGGTTTCAGTCTCATTTACAGGCATTTAAGAGCATTAATGACTGTCTCCTCAGAGAAAGATTTATGCTCCTAAAAGATTAGAAATTTAATGTCAAGCAGCATCATGACTAGCAGTTTTCAGGGAACAATGTAAGAATCTTGCTAGTTTTTATCAAAAACAAACAAAGATATATTTGGATATAATTTTATTCTTTCTGGTTTAGAGGTGAAAACTTTTAAATGGACTACTTCTGCATCTAAAATCCTGTATTTACAAGAACTCTTCTTGCTCAGGAATATTGTATATTGTGTAGCAATATTGCATATTGTGATTATTGAGAATTTTAAAAATGCAACATTTTCTATTAGCGACTTTTAACTATACTGTCAAATAAATAAATAGTTTTAACTATCAAAGCCTGTTGTAGAGATACAGTTCAAGAAAATGAACTCAAATATCCCATTCTTTTCAGTGAAGCATAAAATGTTATTTGTTTATTAACACAATCTTTATTCCAAAGAATTGGCTGCTTCAAGAGACCAACAGAGCATTATTAGTTAGTTCTAGCATGTTATCATTTTGTTAATTTAAAGTAGTTTGTTGAATCCACTGTCACTACTTTTTTGGTGCATGTTCTACAATAGTGATTATAATCTCTCTAATAATTATTTATATTATGCAACTGAAATTCTCTTTTCTTTTTTCTTAACATGCTGCAGTAGCTAACATATTATGGAGAGAAGAAGGTACTATATTTCGGTATTCTTTTACGCTTTTGTGATTATTTTGCTTAATTTTTAGAGATTTATTGCTATCAGTTTTTAAATTATCATGTGTCTTTATCTTGATTTAATATTTTTGTTAAATTTCAATAATTTTATATAGACATTTACCAGAAAAATGCTTATTATTCCTCACTAGTTGATTCATTATTTATAAATGAATAGAAAGTTACATTACAAATATTGAAATGCCTTTAAGAACATGCAATTAATTCAAATAAATAAATGATAATTTTATTACACAAATTATAATTTTATTAAACAATTCATAATCACCTTTGAGAAGGAATGGTATACAAAACATTGTCTTAGGAATAAAGTATGATAAATTATTTAAGGAAATGGCTATATTCTTGAAGGGACTGGATTCAAATCCAGTATCCATCACTATGTAACCTTGGTCCTCTTTGTCATTATTTTTTTTTATCTCAACTATAAGATTAGTTGTTAATACATAGTAGGGTTGTATTCAGTTTAATAAGTATAGCACACACAATGAATAGTATCCACTCTCATCATTATTGTTGTTTTTATTGTTTTCCTTAGTAACAAAGGTTGGAAAGAAAGTACTTGATAAGTACCCAAACACACAATTATGCTTTATTTAAATTCTTAGGAGAAAAATGTGAATAGGTCATCATTATACCACATAGTAACCAGTGAAATTAAGCAAAATGTTTGCAATCAGTCCATCTTAGATGAACTTCACATTCCTCAATTATTACTGAATTGGAGACTTGTTACCTATGGGGGCTGTGTTTCATAAGCTTCAGGAAAGTTTAGAATTTACCCATTCTATTTTAAACTCAATGATGAGTTACACCCAATGTCGCTAACCCCACACTCCATTGGTATTGCTCATTAAATCTCTTGTTTAAATTTCTTTGAGTGCTGTTTACTGAGGAGGTTGTCATGTAGCTACATCTCATTTTATTACCCTTGGATATTTCACATTTAAATGTACAAGTGCAGTCATTGCAGTGACATATTTGTTAGCCATTTCTTTATACTGCCTTTCTGGGTGAGAGGAAACAAATCTTCACATGTGCATTTTAAAGGATTTATTCCTTTTGTCATTGTAATGGAAGGAACAATACTTAGGTCAGAAATCAGTTACCACAGATTTGACTTTGCTGATTAAATGCTGGCTTTTGTGATTAATTGAAAATTTGGATAAGTTATTTTACCTCACTGTAAAAAAAAAATATGTGTTTTTACCTCCTAAATATTTCTTAATGTTTGAAATACAGTTGATACTCTCCTTATCAATCTGTGATATATGAAGCTACTTAATGTTTGTGAACAACCCCTCCTTATGATTGAACTTTGATTAGTACCATTAGAGTTGCTTGCAATAATTATTAATTTTTAGTATTAATTTAATATTCTTCAGGCTATCATCAAAAGTTTTGGAGACCTTCAGTTTATTTGAGATTTTAGTGAGATTCATTATATGAAGCAACTCTTATCTTTTTAAAATTTTATTCTCTTAGTTTTGGGAAATGTGTATTCTCAATAATTATTTTCCACCAATCAATGATCGTTTTATTCTTCATGGCTTTGACACAGAATATATGCTTAGGAAATAATAACTACTTAGTACATGTTGCAGATTATTTAGGACATATACCATAAATGTGTTTTTGTAAATTTTCACGTCTAATTGTCATCAGAGTTCTTTGTTTTTTGTTGGGATAAAAAAAATGTAAAATAAAATATTTGAGAAAATAATGTACTTGACTGAGTTTCATAGGCATCTATAATTTATTTTTTATGATGCCACACTAATTGGCAAGGAATTACAATTGGAAATGATTGCATTTAATAATAATTATGGTGGCCAGTGATAATAGAGCTGTTTAAGAAATCACCGAACCCTAACAGGGTGTACAATTACTTTATTAAATGTAATTAAAATATTAACTATCTGGAGCTTCCAAACTAAATTTCTGTCTCTATATTTAGAAGATAGAAAAACAAATATGAACTACACATTTTTGAGATCCATTTTTTCTTACACTGTAGCTGTGTTTTCTGATTATATGCTTGCCTCTTTCTCATGGTCAAGAGAAAATTTATTTAACAGAGAACCCCAAAGAAGTCAGAAACTTTAAGGTCAATAATGGAAAGAAAATTCAAAATGAAAATACCTCTTACAATTTTATATTATTTCCTGTGTGTGGAAAAACTATGAAATTTTGTTTAACTGATTTTTTTTCCAATAACGCATATTAGAATGTGGCTAGCCAGAAATTTGTAACCTGATTCAATTTTATTGAATTTAATATGCATTATTTTAGTAATCACATGGATATTTATGCTTGGAGCCACATCTTTCTGTCTGTTTTACTTTCGTTTTTTTGCTAGTCATCATTGTAATTCACAGGATATAGAATGGCAATCTTCAAGGAAATATCTCATTTATTGACACACATTTTTTGAGCCTATTAAATGTAAAGCACTTTGAAAGTACTGGAAATGCAGTAATAAATAAAATCTAATATTGACCAAAAGAACCTCTTAGTCTAGTGGATTAAAAGCATAATCATTCTACTGTCAACTAAGTTTACTATGTAATTTCAAAATACATTATGGTGGAGGAAGGACTCTCGGTCCCCTGGTGTGGGTACAGTGTGGTAACATAAATCTGAAGAGTTGTAAATCTATACCTCAGAATCATATAAAGTATTGTGAGCCAAGGTTACCTAATTCAAAAACATATATAAAATACATATTGAAACATTCAATATGGATGGTTTTGTTCTACAATATTTTTGTGATCTTGTAATCGATTATAATCTAATGAAGATTTAACTAATGCTTATTTAGTTGCTAACATTTTGGGAGTTGTTATTTGATTTAGCTTAATTAGTATTTTGATTAATACAAATAATTAAGCATTTTAAGCCATTTTATTCACTTCAGATTAATCTGAAAATTATTCATTTTATGTATTAATTCATTATTGTATTTTTTTAATTAAAGTAGCATTGGCTTACATTGCTGTTTGTGTTTTAGACATATAGGATATCCCCTTCCACGGGCTGTCACCACATCACACCCACCAACAAAACACCCTCAGTCACTACTCTTGTCCATTGTACTCCCTCCCTGTCATGTTCTCTGCCCTTTCTCTTCCCAGCCAGTAGCCTTAATTTTGGAGTCCAGCATTTTAGGGTTGGTTCTTAGTTTGACTTTATCTGACCTTTTGTTTAGTTTCTCTGCATTTATTCTGCATATAAATGACATCATCCAGGGCCTCTCCAGTGGCACAGCGGTTGAGCACTGGGTTGAGAACCTGCCTGCTCCTGTTAGATCCCTGGCTGCTCCCCGGCCACCAGAGGAGGGTCCCACATGGCGCGCAGACATCTCCTGCCGCCCGCTGCTCCCCTCAGCAGTGTGCTTCGGTCCTTCTGCCTGCTCTGCTCCCCGCTCTGGCTCTGGTGAATTCTCTCACCCTCCCGCACTTCTGACTGTACCCAGTGCTTGTATAAACAAACAAACAAAAAAATGCCTCCATTAAATAAATAAATAAATAAATAAATAAATAAATAAATAAATAAATAAATGACATCGTCCAGTTTATGGCCTTGTCCTTCTGACTTTTCTTACTGAAATCCCTCCAGGCTCATCGTTATAAAGAATATATGTGACTTAGATTGAATAAACACGTTATTCACTTGTGCAAGTTAATCCATGTACTTTTATTGTTATCCTCAGTCTCATTTAATAAACCTTGCAGGTGTTGTCAATTGAAATAAATTAAACTTGGAGTAATTTTGATATTTATTATCTCCCTTTTGATAGATGTTTTAGAATGGAAACATTTTAAGCAAGAATGGTTTAGATTTCCAAAATATAAGATTTCAATAACTTTACTTATTTCTTGAAGAGTTGTGCTATTTGGACCTCCCTGGTGGAGCAGGGGTTAAGTCTCGGCATTATCAAGCTATCACCAGCCACTGTGGCATGAGTTTGAATCCCAGCCAGGGAGCTGACCCACAGAGCACAGCATACCTCTTCTGTCTTGCCTGCTGCTCCCCTCACCAGTATATTTCAGTCACTCTGCCTGCCTGTTCCGCTCCCCACTCTGTCTCTGGTGATTCCTCTTACCCCCGACACCTCTGGCCTAGAACCCAGTTCTTGTATACTAAATAAATAAAAATAAATCTTTAAGAGTTGTGCTTATCACTGAGTTATATAAGGTATAGTTAGACTGAATATTGTTATGCACACTGAGCAAGGGAGTCACTCAAATATCCATAAAAAGACTGCAATGCCTTAAATCTAGGTGTGTTGGAAAAAGGCAGAAGCAGAAGACACAAAGAACTGGCATGAAAACTCCTCTGGTGCAGGTCTCTATCAACCTCTGCCTTACAAGGTTCTAATTTATAATATCCCACACCCTTTAGGTGTGGATTTATAAAGTTAGTGAGATGAAATTCTGAGCGTTTATACTCCCATATCTATAGAGAGAAAAATAATTAAAAGTACCATTTCACTGTGATTTTCTAATATTTTAAACTAATAAAAGTTTTAATGTATAATAAGAGACCCTGGTCATTGCCAGTACAAAGACTGATTTATAAGACCTCTGTGTCAAATTACAAAGGCTAGTCTGGAAAATGGATATTTTCCACAATCTGGGGAATGTAAATTTCTAGAAGTCTTAATATATATAAACTAAGTACTCAAAAGGAATGAAATTTTATTTTCCCTAGAAAAATCCATTAACCGTACTAGAACATATATGATTCTTCAAAAAGTAATTTTATTTCTTTATTAATATTTAAAGTAAGTGGGGAATGTATCTGACAATCTATGCATCAAAGAGTTTAATTGCCATTTATAATTGTTTAAAATATTTCAAATCTATTGAATAATATTAAAGCACACACTGAATTTCATATTAGGTAGAATAAGGTAGAGTATACAAAATAAATGCCACACAATGGCTTAGGTATACAGTAAAGATCTCATATGGCTTGCTTTTTTAACATTACATGACTTTAAAAATTGATTGGCCAGTGATGCATGGGGCACTAAGTTTTGGTTTTTTAAAGATTTCTGATAATTTTATTTTGAACTTTTGAATGTGTTTTTATTCCAAAAGGTCTTGGAATTGGGAACATGTTCTATGTTTTTTATGAAGATGGAATCAAAGTGATTCAACCTATTGAATGTGAATTTCAGAGGCACATTAAACCCAGCGAAAAGCTACTTGGGTTTCAGGCAAGTGTTTAAAACTTTCTTTGTAGTTTTATGAAACAGTTATGTTAAAGACAACTATATTTTGGAAATACCAGAAATATGTATATATATGAAACTTGTATTGGGAAGAAAATATTGAAACTATTTTGTTGGTTATTGCTCTATGGTAGTTTTATATTTGAGGAGGAAACAATGTATTGTGTATTCATAATTGTTTGGAATTAAAATTAAGGCAATACTAGTGAAATACCCAAAATAAACACAAGATTACTTGCTTTTCAATTTAGAATCTCTTATTTTGGTAGATAATAATTACTTTAACAAATGAAACAAAAGAACATGTAAATAATCTGACAGGATATTTGGGTACATTGGATGCTTTATAAATGTTAATTACCTTTTATTCTTCATATAATTTTTCATGAGATATAAGTAGAATAAATGGTTCAGATTTATGTGGGAAAATATCCATTCCTTTTTCTATTTGTATACACCTTGCCTTTCTAGAACTAATTTTTTTCTACAATTTTAGAACTGAATATCTGGCAAAGAGCATTGATTACATATATTGAAATGCATATTTTCTGTAAAATAACAAGAGATTTTCATATTGTTATGATTTTACATACTGACATAAGTATGTGTACATTAATTATGTAATAAATAGCAGGTATTGCTATTACCTATGTGTTCTCACAAGTTCAGACACATACCAGACACACAAAATAACTTATTGGCAGATCTTTTCATGGTTTCCACTCTTAATATTTATTTTTAAGGTGGCATGTCAATGAGGTATGAGTAAAAAAGATGTTAAAAGTCATAATTTAGATCCTTTATTTTTACTTCTATTCAAAGCCTACCCATAGCCAGTATTGTTATCATATATATTGAAAATGACCCTGTATTTTATACCTTAAAATCATGCCCTAAAACAAGAAAAAAAATTTCTAATGAAATAAGAAATGTGAAATAAGTAAAATGATTATCTTTCCTCCAGATATACTGTAGGACAATCCAATGACCTTTAATTTTATTTATTTATTTGTAAAGATTTATTTATATATTTGTTTGTTTGTTTGTTTGTTTATTTATTTATACAAGCATGGGAGGGTGAGCAAATTCATCAGAGCCAGAGCGGGGAACAGAACAGGCAGACCAACGAAATACACTGCTGAGGGGAACAGCAGGTGCAGCAGGAGAGGTTTGCGCGCCATGTGGGACCCTCCCTGGTGGCAGGGGATCGACTGTCACTGCAGAGGCCGCGGGCAGCTTCGCAGCCCAGCGCTCAACTGCTGCTCCAGCAGGGGAGGCCCTGACCTTTAATTTTAAATGAAGAAAATAATTCAGTTCAATATATCCTTGATTACTTAAATGAAATAATTTTAAATTTAAAAATACTTCAGTTATTGGCTGTATTACTTAATAGAATTGCTACCATATTTGTGAAGTTATAGATTAACAACAAGTACACAAACCTTTTAAATACAATATGCAATTTTATTTTAAGATCATATAATATCAATACTGACTGGATACATTTTGAATAAGGTGTTTATGTATGTAAATCAAAAACATAAGTATATAGGGCCTCCCCAGTGGCGCAGTGGTTGAGCGCTGGGTTGCGAAGCTGCCCGCGGCCTCTGTGGCGCCGGTTCGATCCCTGGCTGCTCCCCGGCCACCAGAGGAGGGTCCCACATGGCGCTCAGACCTCTCCTGCCGCCCCTGCTCCCCTCAGCAGTGTACTTCGGTCCTTCTGCCTGCTCTGCTCCCCGCTCTGGCTCTGGTGAATTCTCTCACCCTCCCGCGCTTCTGACTGTACCCAGTGCTTGTATAAACAAACAAACAAAACAAACAAATAAATAAATAAAAACATGCCTCTATTAAAAACAAAACAAAACAAAAACATAAGTATATGAATATTTGCTTCTGATAAAGCAAATCATTCAATTTCATATTCTATAGTCTTATAAAACATAGGTGAACTCGTTCTCTCTTGTGTCTGTGCATTCTTTCCCTTTCATAATTAACCTGTCCATTTAATATGAAAAAAATCATATCTTGTTTAGTAAGAGATGATTATTTAATCAGTGTTTGTAGTCCAAATATGCTTAGTGCAATGCCTTACACATACATTTGTTAAATGACTTTAATGAATTCAATGAAAATTGAATGAATGAATTTAATATAAATTCCATGGCTCAGAGCTTTGGTCTATTCATTATATTAGGTGTTCTCTATATTTAAAGATCTATATATCTAATGTCTTCTTCATTATACTATTTTTCCTTACTTTACAATTCTGACAAAACAGTGTTCTTCTTTTAATGCATTTGTGAGAAATGTTTCATAGAGTAGTTTATCATTGAATTGTTTCAAGGTAAATATAACCTCTTGGGTTCATTAATTCAGGATCATATAGTCAAAATGTACAATGCAGATGCCATGTATAGATAGCTGAGTTCTATTATAGAAAAATGAACTAATTCATCTGGATTTTAGAAGATAAATCTCTTGTGTGCAAGTAGTGAAAATGAGTATTTTGGAGTCATTTTTCCCACAAAGGGATTAAAGATACATAGAATATTTTTCAAAGTCACTGTTGATATTAAGGGAATAGAAGTGCATTTCCCAATATAACTCATTGGCCCGTAAAGTTTAGATAAAAACTGAAATATTTAGAATATAGAATATTCCATCAAACCTCTCAGAAGATGCTTTTTGCTTTTTTGCTTGCTCTAAATAAAAATTCAATTTTGGTACAATGTCAGATTATATCAGGACTGAAGTTTTGATAGTGAACTAGTGAGTGTTCATACAACATACTTTTATGTTATACTTTCATCTTTTTTTTTCGTTTTTGTTATGTATCCTTACTAGATAGGATTCTTGGTATATTTATCTTAGTTGTACACATGATTTCATCTTGTCTCAGTATGAACAGCCTGAACTTCAAGCAAATTGAATTCTATTCCAGACTTATGAATTCAGAACTCAAACTGAAATAGGTTTGGCAAAAATGTTTAAATTATAGGTTCAAGGAAGAAAAAGGTAACCAACTTTGTAGCTGTTTGATTTTCAACTATTTTTTCCATCCTCAATGGCCACTGCTTAAATCTTTAATACTTCCAAATTCAGCTATTTCTATATTTGCTTATTATAGATATAGCTGCAACTCTTCACACATACCAAGGTGTTACTTATTTTTTTCATGGGTGCTAAAACACCAGATCTTATGCACAGAACATCGTTTCTACAGGAAATCTGATGTGAATGACCTCCAAAATGTCTGTTTCCTAGTTCGTCATTTCCACATACTATAACTATTTTACTATTATAAACTGATACTATTAGTAGTCTACTAGGATGAAACGTGCGTGTAAGGACAGAATTTTATAGTGTCTAGAATACTTAAGCATCAGGAATTTAAACTGAGGTTATATTTGGGCACACAGAGTCCACATTCCTTTTTCTGTTGGTGCCCCCCTCACCACAAGGAGTGTAGTCTTCGAGGCATACATCAATTCCTTTAGTTAAAACTCCAAATTTCCCTATTCATCATTTCATTCTGTTTCCAATCCAATTACTACTTCTCCAAACTCTGTCCACAAAAATACTTGAAACACCAGCCTTTTTTTATCTGACACTGACAATTGATTTCCCTGTGAAGCCATTGAGAAACCTTTTGAATTTAATACCACTGTATTTTCCAGAAAAGTAATCGAAATGTTTCCCCACTTATTCTTCTCTCAGAGGGTCCTTATTCAAACATGGCTTAAGTTACAAAGGGTTATAGAATGATAAAAATTTAAGCTTTTGTCCCTTTGTGGTACAATGATATCCTGCAAAGAGCTTCCTAAAGAGAAGTAATGTAAACTCCCTCTAACTATTCCTTAGAAGATTACTCTGTAGATTTTAAAAGAAATAAATTTATGAAATTGGTCTTTGAAGTTCTGAACTTAAAAAGAACCCTCTAATCCTTCATTAAAAATCACACTGTTTCAAAATTTTCACATTGTGTTTCTTTAGATTTTAGGTATGTAAGTATGACATTGAGGGAACTAGAGTGAGAAGCATGTAAGTTGTGCAAGAGCCTTGTAATGGTGCTGCGTGGCTATTTGGATCAAATGGTTTTGTCTAAGAAATCATGTCTTTTTCAAAAGATTATTAATAAGGACCAAGGGAGCTATTTGGGTGAATGTAAGCAGAATGATGCATCTTCTGCAATCTATTGCCATCGTTTTAAAACATTTTTATATGATTACTAAGGACTCACTATAAACATGAGTATATTCTATGTACTTCAGAAAGAAATGTGTTTACAGTAATTTGGATTTTCAATAGGTGCTTTTAAGGGTAAAATTGAAAAGTGTAACACAAAAATTACTGATACAAGTATGTTTATACATGAAACCTTTTTTTCTTGACACAAAATCACATAACTCTATGTATTTTAAATATGAATTTAAAATACATTTTCTCATCCAGGACTTTTGTATTCACAGAAATGCACCTATTTCTTTTTCCAAAGTAATAGAAATACATGATAAAAATAAAATAATGCAAAAAAGCTTATGATAACAAGCAGTTTCTTGCGGCATGTCCCCTGTTCCCAGATCTACTTCATGTAATTGAATCTATTCAGTGACTCTAAATAATGTGTTCGGTAGTGATATTTTTTGATTTATCAATATTAGATATTTCCTATTGGTGTTCCTTTACAGCAGGTGATTATTTTACTTAAAATTACTTTCCTTCATTGTAAATATAGTAAAATTTAAATAATTATTTTCATGATTTTTGTGAATGAAATTTATAATTTTAAATATGCACTCAAATGTTAGTCCTTATTTTTCTTGGAATTTCTTAAATATTTAATATTTTCAGAACTCTTGTTTGATTTCTCATTGCTTACATTTTTATTTCAATAGTAGCTTCAAAATTGTCAGTAGTTTCAATTTAACATAAAGTCTATTCATTTCTTTAATATTTTATATATCAGCTAGTTCATTTATCTCAGT